TCTAGGAACCCGCCCCAGGATACTAGTTAAACATCATCTCAGCTCAGCTCCCAAATGTGATTGACTATTGTCCCACATATTTCAATTCATGTGTTCCAAATTTGACGCTAGACAGCTATAGATCTAGTCATTAAAAATCTTTATTTTGCGTGAAATCATGAAATTGAAAGAAATTCCGTATTCTCACCATGTGTAATTCCTCTGCCGCTAATTCTTTACGTCGCTGAATTTCCTTTATATATTTAGAAACGTCAGGAACGTTGGTTAAATCTTTGGCATCCGATTGCATGATTAGTGATTACTGACACGCGCTTGTGCGGATACTCCACTCCAGCACCTGCATAGGCCCTGGGTAGCTTACTTGCAGCGCATGGCCTGGCTAGAGAGCGGCTGCTAGCGTGCGGAGCTGCGGATCTGCTTGCTGCATATATGTACTGTCCGTCGTCTGCTAGTTCACGCGATCGCGAGTGCGAGCAACTGCAACTGTACTGTACGTACCATGGAATATGCTGGGTGAATGTTAAGCATTCGACGCTATTTTCTCTAAGAAGTAATCTATTGATAATGCTAAGATGAATAAATTAGCATTTGTGAATCATTTTAGAAATGGTTTAATTCGTTCGTTTGGTCGAAAAAGTGTCCACATCTTAGAATACCAGTGCCATGGCCATGTCCGTGAACCTTTTCTGCAACGTTTTACTATCTACGCTTCAGGAGGCGACTCGAGCATCGCAGCAGTGTGGTGTCGGCGGTACTCAACTTCATGGATTGCACCCATTTCAGTGCACAGCAGCTATAGCTACACTTTTAGAACTGTCTCGTCTAGATTCACTACGTGTGATTTTGTATCTCATATTCAACAAAACAGGCCTATTTATGAGTCCTCACCAAAACATTTCTCGACTATTTGCTTTCCATGTCACACCCATCAACACCTCAAACTCGATGAACGGAAATTCTTTCCAGTAATATCAGCAAACTTTTGCGTTCATCGTTGGAATTCCAGTTCCAGACCCCCCTCGAATCCTGCCACAAGTTCATCATCAAGTCAACCAGCGGATGAGGACCAAACCACAGTTCTGTTCTTCAAAACTTGGAGAAGTTGGAAAACTCATTTAGGTTTCATGGGTACTCTACCATTCGCATCGGAGTTGGAGTTTTTATTGCCACAGGTAACTACACAAAATAGCAACTGCATGCTCTCAAGAAAGAAAGCTATCAGTCATCTCTGTACACTTCATTAGAAAAAATGCATATGACCAATGCAAAACCAAAAAACTCTATTTTGATATTAATAATAGGATTAGGAAGAATGAATTATAAGATTGATTAATGATCAGAAATATATGTATTTTTAGAATTTGTTTTTAATCCGATGGCAATGTATTCAAATTATAATTTTTCTTCCTCGTGCATGCAGCTTTGATGGTTTACCTATTACGGGACCCAATCAGAGAAAATGTTGCTGTAGAAGTCTCACAGGTAGCCTCACGATCTCTGGAACATGAACAAGTGGCCGTCAAGGCTGAGGAGTTTGCAAAGTCTCTCCTTCAGACGCTCCTTCACGATGAAAACATGCATCGACTTGCTGCACAATTCATCAAGCAGGTTTGTTTATTGTAGATTTTCAAGATCACTTTATCTAATGAGTTTTAATTGCCTGAAAGAGAGATATTGGTGTAACATTCAGTGTTTAGATCTAATTGGGAATGATATGGTGTGCTGTAAAGTATCATCCACAAATAAGAATTAAAATAGTGATTGTGCAAAAAGGACAGCTATGTTTTGATGATGACTATTTTGAACATGTACATGTACAGCACACTCTTTTATCTCTTTACAGGGAACAAAATCATTGTAAACCCAAATCTGGAAATGTGCAAATAGAATTACCTCCTTACCACTCCTCATTTCATCTTTACATGCATGCACAATGCCAGGTATTGAACAGTCCAGAGACCAGAAAAGCTGCCACAGACTACTTCTCCAGCATCCTGGAAGACCCCCAGAACAGGCAGCTCCTGGCCTCCACCATCAAACAGGTCCTGCTCCTGGCCATCCATGACCCGGACACCACGGCGGCGCTCAAGGCAGCGGTGGTGCTCATCCTGTCTGATCCAGAGTCTCAGGAGGCAGCGAGAGGTCTCATCACCGCTGTCTTCAAGCACGAGGATCTCAAGGCAGCAGCGGCTCTCTTCTTTGCCGATGTGCTTATGTCACAGGTTGTCATCACACAGGCAACCAAACTTGGTAAAACATTTTCAGATATTTCGTGAGCATTTTGGGAAAAGCTGTCTCCCACTCCCCCCCCCCCCCCTTTTCAATTAGATTAGGAACAAATCACTGTATGATGGGCTATGTTTACATCTTATGAAGATGGATATCCCATAAGAACAATAAAGGCATTTAGCTAAGGACTTTTTGTGAGCATTTTTCATCTCAATGAGATGAAGTCATCAGTCTTGGTATAATATGGACTAAGGTCAAATGTCAAAGGTCTCAGAGGTGTATGTCCAACATGAAATTGATTACCTATTTTTGGTATCGTGAACAAGTCTTTGTTCACAGGCTGTCTTTGCACCTTGGAAACCAGACTTCATAGGAAATGTAGAGATTCCACATGGTGTTATATGCAGGAGATAAATTTGTCATATTCCTTTTTTTAATGAAATTAGGATTCACTTGATGATGAACCATGTTTACATCTAATGAAGATGATAATATGAGTTCTTAATAGGAACAGACAGGAGAGTAATGAAATAGTGAAGACTTGGGTTCAGATCAGTATGCGATTTCTCTATAATTGTGTTTAGTAATCTGGATGTCTACATGAATGTTAAATCTATTGTTCTAAATTGTAACAAGATATTGGATTACGTTAAGTTATATATATTGAAGAGATAGAGATTAATAGGTTTCTCTCTAATATTCATATGTTAGGATATATCTCTTCACTATTCATGAATCTGTTTCAAAAATGTGAAATGAATAAGAGACTGTTAATACATATGTACAATTTAATTCTTCCATCTGTAGTTCTATTAAAAAAAATATGAGGGAAATATATGACAGGGCTTTGCTAAAAGGTATAAATCAGTTTTGGAACCCCCCCCCCCCCCTCAAAAATTGAAATGGAAGCTCTTATTACCAATCATGTGAAAGATTATGTTTTGACTAATACGTGATGATACCAATTTTGCCGGAAAACCACCTACTAATTGATATATTTGGTAAATTATCATATCTATCCGGCCTGGATAGATATCACAGTCTCATATACATCTTTCTGTGTACAGTGCTTGTAACTTTACCAAGACTGGGTCAAATTTCTTATCATTTTGATGATTCCAGAACCTTGCAGTACACACCAATACTTATATGCTAGATGATCAACCTTTTCTGATCGATTCCACAACGTTTCATTCACAATGCAATCGCATGACCAGAACTGGTCTATACCTTTAAATTCATTTCAGCTTATGATTTTATTCTTGTTTTTCAAATTCAATTATTATCAGTATTTTTTTTTTTTTTTTAACTTCAGGGAAAGATGTGACCCTCAATATTATCACAGACCCTGATCTGAAAGAGGAGACAGGAAAGTCCTTTTGGGAGGCTGTCAAGTACTCAATAACCCCACGTTGGTTCTCAGGAGCCCCTTCAGAATCTTCATCTTCTCCATCTCCGTCCGAAGCACCCTCTGATTCCTCCAAGATGCCTCCATCACCTCCACCGTCGCTCTCAACATCACAGGAGCCTTCACCTCCATCATCTTTATCACAGTCCTCACCACAACCACCATCGTCTTCTTCTTCATCACCACCACCATCATCACCACCGTCATCATCATCACCATCACCACCACCATCATCTTCTTCATCACCATCATCGTCACTACCATCACCAATATCATCACTACCCTCGCCATCACCACCACCACCACCAACAACATCGCCACCATCATCATCATCACTACCATCGCCATCACTACCACCACCACCACCATCACTATCATCACTATCATCATCACCACCACACACCACCACCACCACCATCATCGCCAACCTCATCTGTGCTACCAGAGGTGATGACAGCTCCATCTGCCCTGACTGAAGAGGAAGTATTTGCAGAAGAAGAATTACTTGATGCTGACTCAAATATCCTTATCTAGAAATAGCTTTGCAGAATTCAATTCTTGCAAATGGGCCCTTTTTACGCATTGCAGCATGTGCTTTCAGCATTTTCGCTGACACGGTGACTTCTGGTTTTATATGTCTCAGTACAGTTGCAAGTGATGTTCATTTCAGATTTTGGCATAAAGATTCAGTTTTGCACAATGTTTGATGAAAGATGGTATTTCAAATATAAAAGCTCCAAAATTGATTTGACATTGACAATTTATGAGTTCAATTTATAATGTACCAAAGATTGTGTGCTGGTGGCCATCAAATTTTGGATAATCATGAATTACTGCATTGTGAAGACTTTTAGGCAGTTTTAATATTGAAACTTCTTCTTGTTCACTGGAAAAGGGAAGTCCTAAGCTCTCATTACTGTGTATAACAATATATGATTGTACAACTATAATAGCCCCAAGTTATTGTAAATTAGAAAAGCAGCCGTAGTTACGCATTAATGTGAATATCTTTCTGTAGGGATATGCAAAATTGAAAAGTGAAAGTGTTTTAGATGGCCAGGTTCCCTTAAAACTGTCAATATTGTTTCATGTTATTTTTTTGGCAATTATTGTGCTGATATTTATGTTATTTTAAACCAATATTTCAAGCAATGCAAGAGTAGTGCGTGCAATTTATCAAGTTAATGAGTTGTTGAATTAAATGAAGAAAATCTAATTAAAAGTTGAAACATGTGTTCCTTTTCTATCAAGTTTCGAAGTGTTACGGCGTTGCAAAATTAAGGTTATTGGATACAGAGACAGGTCGGTATGTACAAATAATATGCACACAATGCAAAATAAAGACATCTCAGAACATATGGAGTATTAATTCAAGCAATATAGTATATTGTTTGAGATTACAACAAAGACAACATTTGTATAAAAAAAGGTTCAGTGAAGGAACTGTGAAAACGTTGACTTCATACTATTGGCTATACAAGACATAACGTGAGAGGACTAAGAATACAGACAAGTGTTATTGAAGACAAAACAAAAATGGGTTTAAAAAAAATCATATTCACAGAATAATTACTATCTTACATGGATGATTGAGCACTGTTGATGCGGTAGACTTCAAAAAAAATTGTGGCCTCATGCTAGTATTTAGAGCCAGAACTTTTTGATGCTAGGCAAATCTTCCATAACTCAACATAATGGTAGGAACATCCTTTGTTCAGGTTTCAGACAAATTAAAACTTAATGGCAGACGAAAATCCATGTATGGATTGCAGAAACATTAAAACAACATTCAACTAATCATTTACAAAAGAATCTCTACATACAAACCCAAAGGGGGAAAGTATAAACTTATGAAGAAAGTCTTGGTTGTGTAACAATATCAATGCAACAGTGTTCTATAAGCCTAAGGCATACCTGTGATAATTAAATCGCCTCGTAATCCTTACTTTTCCCTCAATAAAGGCAATTATTTAACTTAATTGGCCAAGAGATCCTCATAATGTGCCTCGACAGCAAGCAAGATCTACAACTAAATGTGTTCAATATACAGAGGCATGATCTGTTGCGACCAAATGCACCCAGCAAGGTATTCCCCAAAACTGTTTACTACGTCACTGTTCCATTCAGAGTGTCACTTAGTTAATTTGTTAAGAAATCTCAAAATTGAAAAGTAAACATGCAAAATTACAAACTGTTGTTCATATTGCATTCGTTTCATTTTCATTGAACCTACTAAAGAGACGCATTTAGAATGCATTGTTGAAATTACATTGGAAATTCAAATTTAAACAAGCATAATCACAATATGGGAGATGTTCCAATACATAAGCATTCTGACTAAATTATACACCTCATGATCATTTACATTGGCAGAGTTACTTTAAATTCACACAATCATGATTTACAACCTTAAATTTTGTTTAAATGGCAGGACATTTGAATAAAAAAACAAATCAATTAAAAAACATTTACCTAAGTATATACAAACATTTTTTTTAAAGATCAAATCAAATGCATGATTTTAAAATGTGAAAGTTTTATGTTCACATATCTGACCTAATCATGTACCAGAGAGTCTGAAATGCACTTGAAGGACTTATTACTGAAATTATGAAACATGATTTATCTACACATAAAAAGGGTTGCCAGCTAATAGGCATGTTCATCGCAGAATTCACAATGGTTTTGTTCTGTAGAGCGATAAGAGTTGTGTCAATGACTAATTGTGCTTGGGTAGAAGAGTTGCATTTCATTTTCAATACTTATAAAGTAACCATCTAGCTGACTATTTCACATGTGGTTCATATTCCAGGTTTTTTTTTTCTTCAAAATGGGAGGTAAAATAGTACAGTTTAGTACAACACCAGTAGAGTTGAACATCAAAATGAAAATTTTCTCTTCACGCCGACTCGTTGCAATGATATGGAATAATGTTAAGCCTGAAACATGTACATAGTCCACTCAGAAAATTGTTCCAAGAAAAATATAACTATGTACAACCTTTTCTTCTTTCTTTAAAAAAAAATTGACCTCCCAAAATCTGCAGTCTTCATTCTGATTTTAATGCAATTCTTCTTCCTCTAAACATGTACAAAAAGTGGATGATTCATTGGCAAAACTCAATAATCTACAACAAAACTCACTGCCTGGCTAAAAACAATACAAATTACTAAAAATTCATGCAAAGCTTATTTACATACATTATAAATCCAAATGCGAGACTCCTAAAGGCATTGAAAAATTGACCATTACATTAATTATGCCGCCTAATTTTAAAATTTCAATAAAATCCTATTGCAAAAACACTACTGCAAAAGTACTACAGCACCATACACTAAAACGCAAGCTATAAATAAGGTCACAACAAGTGAACAATGGCAATTGACTTGGGTAGTTACTTGCCCATGTCCTTGCCCACAGTAAATCTACAAGTTGAAAGCTGAAACAGATTTTTCTTCTTTTTCTTTTCTGTACCTAATACTGGAATCTACAAATTTACTCTAATAAACTTTCACATTACTGGCAAAATGTTGAAAGTTGATATATTGAACAAACCATAATTACACTGTACACGCAGTAAAAGTTACCACTGTTCCATACCTTCTACAGATCTACACGTGTCTTATTGTTTCAGATTGAGTCCTACATTTTCATTTCTTTAGAACTCTTGTCTATTTTGTTCATACTTTTGTAAAAGAAACAGAATGCGATCATTTATTTGATTCCTGTGCTGCTTCCATGTTTATTCTTTCATGTGCCTACTGATCTCCCAGCCTGGTGATTGATCAACAAAATACAATGAGATTTTTTTTTTTTTTAACTCGAGGTTCCAAAAGTCCTAGCTCTGGTTTATTTCATATTTGTTCTCACCAAATAGCAGCTTGGTGTCGTCTTACAAATCTAAATATTTCAATTAATGCACATGATTCCATGTATGTTACCAAAAATATTTGTTAATACTTGTATTTCTTGAACAACCTACATTCCCTTCGTGTATGAACATGTTCCCAATTTCTACTGCAGACACAAATCAAGTCAGCTGTTTAAGGATCCTTCATTGCTACTCATCAGAAAAAACTACATTCAAAAGTATTATTTCACAAGTTTGAATACAGGCCCAGTTCAACTATGGGATCAGTTCCCCAAATCGACCTGAAGTAAAACATCCTTCGGTTGAGTAGATACAGTTCCATTGTAGCTTGGTCTAAGCCTTTATCTGGACCAGATATCGAAGACAGACCTGGTTCTCCTTGTAGACCACAAACTCGTTTAGACCCCACCCAGGGGACTTAGGGACGCGTTTTGGGGTCCCCAGAGGAAAAACGGCACCTAGGAATCAAGGTAACAATGAAATACACAAATTAATTTATAAAAAAATATAAAATTCTACTCTCATGTGGTTTTTTGCTACTGGGATTTTTTTTTCTTCATGTCAAGCGTTGGTGGTGTTGGGGGGGGGGGGGGGGGGGGGGGGGGGGGGGGGGGGGGGGTACGGACAATTTACTAGATTACTGGCATTTTTACCTATATTATTCTTGACAACTATGTATAGCTATCATGACATTTTTCGGTAAAAACATTGAACACAATAAAGCTACTCATGAAACTCAATCACTCTCTTACATGCATACAACACTTCTTTTGAATCTTTTTTCATTGTGGAAGTAGCAAACAAGAACTACCACATGTAAATATCATGAAACTATATTAAATATCATGAAACCTTTCAGTAAAAAGTCATACACCAAAAAGCTACTTGTGCAAACACTCACTGTATTATGTGCATACAAAACTTTTTTTAAATATTTTTCATTGTGGTAGTAGCAAACAAGAACTCTGATTCAAAAGAATGTTAAATCTTATTGGAAAATGCTTTGTGGCAATGTTTGAGTGACACAAAATGATATTCCTTCTCTTTCTCCTACCTGTAGGAAAGAAGAAGGTCTTGAGTCGCGTCTGGTTCTTCATTCCCAGCACTCTTGTAACTGTTAAATCCCTTCTTCAACGCAACCGTCTCCTCCTTCTGCATGTTACCCAGTGCAACCTGTAACCACAGAGAGAGAGAGAGAGTGGGATAAGAGAGAAGGAGTGAGAGAGAGAAAGAGAGAGTGTGTGATAGAGAGAGTGAGAGAGTGAGAGAAAAAAAAGGAGAGAGAGGGATAGAAAGAGAGAGAAGAGGTTAAGTTTTCTCACATGTGATTTTGACTGTACTTTATATATACATATTTATGAGATTTGAATTAGAGTGGATTGATGGCCCATCAAAACAGAAATTCTCAGAAGAACTGTTCTAAGGACCATTTAACTTTCATTTTTAGAAACAACTGTAGGAGATACAAAATATATACACATTTTCAGCTTTCAGCCTTTGTCAAGTAATGACAATTTGAAAATTGACAGCACAGCAGTTGCTAAAACAGTGCAAAAAAAAAAACAAAGAGGAAGAGTCTGTTAGAAAAGATAACAAAAACTTTCTTTACCATACGTAAAATTTTAATTGAATTCATTTGGCAATGTCAGTTATATTGTTCTATATGAAAGAGTGAGTGAACATTTGGTTCGAATCTGCAAGTATATGTTCCATTACTACCTGACATAAAGATGAACGTTCTACTAGAAACTAGATGGACCTTCTACCCGCGCGCAGTAGAAAATGATGCCTCCGACATGGAGCAATTTTACAAACCAAAACAGAAGTGAGCTATTTTTGCATACTTAATGAGCCCTGTGACCTTTGACCTTGGATCTCGTGACCCCAAAATCTAATCAGTTCATTGGCTTTGCAAGATACATACATGACTCAAGTTTGCGGGCATCCATCGATGGGTTCTTGAGATAAAACACGATTACGATCTATGTTTGCATACATTATGA